AAAAAAAAAAATAAATAAAAATAACGAGTCACGAGGGAGAGGTGGCCAGGGAACTCGTGGGAGTGGACAAGGTTTCCCGGGATAGCGTGGATGGAGCACACACACAGAGCTTTGGGCAGGGAGCTGAGCGCTGCAAGCTATGGCACTTATTCAGAACCTATTTTGTGCCAGGCTGTGGGGACGTAGCTGTGACCAAGAGAGATCAAATTTCTCACATTCTTTCGAGGCACAAATAACTAGACAGCCAGACAAAGACACAATATAGTTATGTTAGACAGTACTACAAGCTAAGGAGAAAAATAAGGCATCAGGACATGTGGGTGGGAAGTGCCCAGGACGGTGTGAGGGGAGGTCCCATGAGAAGACAGATGATGTTCTAGTAAACATGAGGAAGAGGTGAGGGAGGGATCCATGTGGGAATCTGGAGGGAGAACATTCCAGGCAGAGGGCACACCAATGCAAAGGCCCTGGGGCAGGAGTGCACTGTAGCTTCAAGGACCAGGAGGAAGGCAAAACCGCCAAAATGTGGAAATAACCCAAGTGTCTGTCGATGGCTGAACAGACACGCAAAATGTGGTCAGTCCATACAGTGGAATAGTACTCAGCCACGGAAGGAATGAGGTATCGATATAAGCTACAATTTGGATGAACCTCGAAAACATTATGCTAAGTGAACGAAGCCAGATATGTGACCAGATATGGTCACAAATCGCATTATTCCCTTTACATGAAATATCCAGAATAGGTAAACCCACAGAGACAAAGCAGAGGGTGGTTGTTAGGGGCCGGGGTAGGGAGGAGCAGACGAACCGCTTGCCAGCATTACAGGGTCTCCTCTGGGGGTGATGAAATTATTTTAAAGCTAGAAAGGGGTGATGTTTGTACAACATGGGAGTGTCCTAAATGCCACTTAAAATGGTGAATCTTTTTAAAAAAATTTTTTTTCATGTTTATTTACTTTGAGAGAAAGAGAGAGGGAGAGAGAGAGAGAAAGAGCTTGAGAGGCGTAGGGACAAAGAGAGGAGAGAGTCCCAAGCAGGCTCCACACTGTCATCACAGAGCCCAACAAGGGGCTCGATCTCAGGAACCCATGAGATCATGACCTGAGCCGAAATCAAGAGTCAGAGGCTTAACCGACTGAGCCACCCAGGCGCCCCTTAAAATGGTGAATCTGAGATGAATTTTACCTCAATTAAAGCCTGGGTGGCTCAGTCGGTTAAGCCTCCCACTCTTGACTTCGGCTCAGGTCGTGA